TTTCTTCAGCATTACGCTCATAGTCAAATGAAAAATCAATTAATTTTCAAAAATTAGCAATATTGCTCAAATGATTTAAAAAATTAAAAAAATTGTATACAATTTTCCCAATTTTTAAAATGGCAAGTTTCAGCAACATTTAAAAAAAATAATTTCAGCACAATATTTACTACCGTAAATTCGTGCACTTATTTGCCTATTAGAACAATTTCTACGGTTATGTGCAAAACCGAAAAAAAAATATACATATATATTATATATATATATCGAATGCACGCTTGTAACATGCTTCGAAGGGCTAATAATTTTTAAAACACTTATAAAACGCACTATTTTATAAAGTAAATTAGGCTGATTCTAAAAAAAATTATTATTTCAACAGAACTCAGAATCAAATAACATGTAAACACCAAAAAAGCATGTACGTGAAAAGGTTTTCGTTTTTGCTTTAAAAATTACTGTCTTTTGTCAAAAAATGCACATTAATTTATAAAAATTGTAGACAGAAAGATAAATATTTTTCAGAGTGTTATTTGAAAATTTTATTCAAGCAATAAATTATTTTTCAACACTTTTGACAATCTTTGGTTAATGTGATGCATTAAATTTAAATTGCAATATTTAATAACCAATTATAAAATAGTAAAAAAGAATATTTAAGGTATCAGCATAAGATAACACAAAAACAATTCATCTGTATTCGAAAGATTCATACCATATGAAGCATGAACAAAAGTTTCATTAATATTCATTTAAATAATAACATACAAAACTTAAAATGGCTAACAATGAATTAAATTCCTTTTTTATTAATATGATCTAATGTATTGGAGTTTTTTTGCTTTCAAGTATGAATATTTATGAAATTTTATTTATATGATCGTAAGCTATCGTTAAGAATAAATAAGCTTCAAATGCCCATCCACATTGTTATGAATTTTTCTTTCTTTTAAAAGTATAACTAAAGCTTTTTTACTAGTTTTTTTTAAATAATACAAATGTTAACTCTTAATGACATCTTACATTTGTTTATATATACATATAAACATGACAAATGATGTTTAAATTCGTTTTATTTCACGTCTAAGAGTTCTGCAAAAGTACGAATGTTTTGCTAGTTATATATATTCTAAATTTCGCTAACAATAAACGATACCTAAAGCAATGTAATTCTTAAATACAACTTATTTCATTATTTAATTAAAAAGCTTATTACTAAGTCTGCAAAAACGAATATTAAAACATGAATGATAAATAACACTTACTCGACTATTAACGGTCATTTGATAACTGTTTGATGGAATTAATCTTTTTTTTTTTTTAATTTATTCACATTTCGGAAACCTAAATACTGATACTTTAGGCCCATTTTTGTAGTTCCCTTTACATCTTGGAACTACACACGAAAGGGGCATTGTTAAAAGCTGTAAAATAATGCAACATATATTTTTTTAAAGTCGTTTAAAACGACACATCCGACGGACAAACGACACTGCTATTGAATGAAGGACAAATATTTGAAATCGTATGTGACGTGACTAAAAGATGATCTCAACGGCCTTATTTCTCGGTGACTATGGATAATTACTACGTAAAATGTGGGAGTGTAGTATGCCAGTATCATCATTGAGAATGATTTTCCAACCATCTCGGTAACCGAACCTAATTTAATGATTTTTCTCTCTAAAAAGTCACAAAGCTGATTTTTATCTCATTTATTTCTGTCTTTATTGTGTCTTCAAATAACGCTTCTATTTTTCGGACAGAATGAAAAATGATTTCCACCCCAATGATTCGGAAGATTTTCATGCTAGAAAAAAAAAATTTATTTTATGAAGTTTTGTGACATTTTAGAAATAATTGAGAAAATAGTTTGAAAATATATATTTTTATTTCTTTGAATTCAAAAGCGAACGCAAATTTAGACCGGTTTGTTTACTTAATTGTTCTGTTCGAACAATTACGTAGAAGACAAAATTTTCAATATTTAAGACTACTCCTGTTGCATGAATTTGTACATTGAATGATGTTAAAACGTGCCGTATTAAATTTACTTTGATAGGGAAATTTGAAAAAGATAAAATGATATGAAATTATTTAAAATTTTGTAATAAGCATTTGCTGGTCTTCGAAAGCATAAATAAATGCTTCTCTCAACTTTCGAATGAATTTAGTTTCAATTAAATGGCTATCTGTTGAAAGATTAGATAACGTGTAAAGCTGAGTCAGCTAAATACCTTTCAAGATAACAGAAAAGGAACTCTGTTCCATTTAAAGATTCATCTATTGTGGCGTGTGTAACACCTACATACCAATGAAATTGTGCAAATCATTTCTAAACCACTCTTTGAAATAAGTAATATTGAACGTTTTCCACAATGTTCTCAAAAGCTATTGGTCATTAAATGACACGTGTTCACATTTGTATGGTCTAACCCAGTGGTCGGCAAACTTATTAGCCAAAGAGCCAAATATGAACATTATAACAATTTAAAAAAAAATTGGAGCCAAATCTGCTTGTTTAGTAAACTTTTATTACACTAAATAAGTAGTACACTAAATAAAACTAAATTTCATACTTAATAATTATTTATTAATACGAGCAATGTGCTTGCATCTCCTTAGAAAGTTTGAGTAAGTCAGGTTTGTATGTTGTTGTTTTTAATTTTAGGCATGATTCCAAGTTCTCATCAACAAGAGGACTTCTCAGTTTACTCTTGATAATGTTCATGCTTGGAAAAGATTGTTCGCATATGTATGTAGAACCGAAAAGGGAAAGAACAGCAAACTCGAGCTTTTTCAGCTGATCGTAAGAGTCTGGAATACTATTCCAAGCGTTGAAAATGATCATGTCTTCCTTCTCCAGGTCATTCAAAGCAGACCACTTGTGTTGTGAACTAAGATCAAATTTTTTCTTCTCCAATATTTCCAATTCATATTCGTTCGAATTTAGAGAGCCATTTCTCCTTGTTTTTTAAATCCAGCAATTGTATTTCAAAGCCACAAATGTCATACAAAGCTACCAATGTCAACATACGTAGCAGGTGTAATAAAATCGTATAAAAATACCTGTAAGATGTGCAGCTAGATAGAAAAATACAACAACTTTTTAATGAGACAGGACAACGGCAGACATGGTAGATAAGACCAAACTGTTCCCGCTGCAACTGCTGGTCTGTGATGCCAATTTGTACCCCCACTACTTTAGAAAAAGTATGCGCGCATGCTTGTGGTACCTTTGTATCACACCGGAGTACGCCGAAAACATACGAACAATTTCAGCCGGTAGCTTGTACATGCTTTGTGTTTACGTTTACGAAAACTAATAAAATTAAACTCGATGCTCGTTAGGTATTTTTACAATAATATAAAATTTTAATTACCTATCTGTCTTTTAACTTAAACAAAAAATTATACATGTTCTCGATTTATAGAAGAATTTTAATTTATCATAATAAGATTTTTTTCTTACCAAGTTCTTTTTTTAAATGAAAATATTATTGCGCCATCCGTGGATATTTGTGCCAGAGCCGCACTTCAGGTGCGAAAGAGCCACATGCGACTCTGGAGCCGCAGAAATTGGAATGATTTATTATAATATCATTATATGGTTTATTGATTGTACGACCAAACCTATAAATTGAGGGATTCATAGATACAACCCGCTCTTTAGATTATTAAAAAAAAAATATTAAAATCTAGTTTTGTGGCACATAACCTGGGAAGTATACTTAGACAAGATGCCTGGTTCTCGAACAGTAGTTCGAAGTGTAGTAAATTGTGATGGGTGCAGGTTAAATCCATATTCCCATGACAAATTATACCTCTGGGGGTAGTGAATTGGTTCTGTGGGATGACCTGCACTTGGTCATATTCTTGGCCATAGATGGCTCCATTTGAAAACAAAAAGAACAGCTTGTTTTAATGGCCTACGACAACAACATATAAAAGCGTATATGAACTTGTATGTAGCTGATTTTCTTTAAAACAAGTTTAATATTGATAATCACTGTCTGTCTTCTCAAAACATTTTCCAATCTATTTGTTTTGCCCAAAATTTTTAAACTCTTTCTAAACAACAAATAAGTATACAGTTCCTGGCCAAATTATTAGACGCGCTGTAAGATTCCATGTAAAATCTTAATTATCAGGTCATACTATACAGCTTTATTGTTTTTATGTGGCTGAAACCTGTTTGCACTTGTTTACTTTCGTGTATCAATTGGTTATATTGTACGATATATAATATAAATTCGACAATAGTTTAAATTCTATTCTGTAAGATTCTATGCAAAATCTTAATTATCAGGTCATACTATACAGCTTTATTGCTTTTATGTGGCTGAAACCTGTTTGCTCTTGTTTACTTTCGTGTATCAATTGGTTAAATTATAAGATATATAATATAAATTCGAAAATAGGTTAAATTCTATTCTGTAAGATTCTATGTAAAATCTTAATTATCAGGTCATACTATACAGCTTTATTGTTTTTATGTGGCTGAAACCTGTGAAACCTGTTTGCACTTGTTTACTTTCGTGTATCAATTGGTTAAATTATACGATATATAATATAAATTCGACAATAGGTTAAATTCGACGATATATTATATAAATATAGAATATTTATTATATCAGGTATTATAGTAGCATATTACAATAGTTAGACCAAATATTAGACGCACTGTAATGTTTTAATAATTGCATGTTTTGCACGAGTTTATACGCAATACTTTTATATTTAAACATACATGTAATGGGTTTTTATTCGGGAGATTTCTTATATACTTCCTATTTGTATTTATTTTCAGCGTATTGCCTTACAATGTTAACCAATTGATACACGAACATAAACAAGTGTAAACCAGTTTCAGCCGCTTGAAAACAATAAAGCTGTAGAGTATCACCTGATGATTAAGATTTTACAATAGAATCTTACAGTGAGTCGAATAATTTGGCCAGGGGCTGTAAGTCAGGTACACTCAAATAATACTATGGATGCATTTTCTGGGATATGTTTATTTTCAAGAAATAACAACAAAAATTTTAAAAAAAATAAGAGACAAACAATAAACACAGACTAGAGTTATCGCTTTCATACAATTACATTCTTTTGAATATGAAACAACAAATATTAAAGCACACTACATAAATGTGTAAAAACTATCCAAATGAAATGGCAACCCACGTTTTGATACTTTATTTAGTGGTCTTAAAAGATTTTCGAAAACAATAAAAGTTTTACAAGAGATTATTTTCATCTAGAGACTCTTTTGGACTAAGAGAACAAGTTTAAATCCATTAGAACTAATATTTTTAGGATTTATTTGGTGTAAAAGTAGTTTTCCTCAAGAAGACATGATTATAAAATACAGATTCTTCTCTTGAAAGGGTGGGAGTAACAAAAGCAAGGTCTTGTAAAATGCACTGTACATCATCACAAGGTGGGGAATGCATTCTTTTGATGCAATACTTTGAGTCTGCAAAAATATTACTTTATTTTATTTATTTATTTTCTTTTAATGCACTCGCTAAAAATATTGAATCCGGTTACCGCGATATTAATAGACGCACTCTAAGATTCGATGTAAAATCTTAATTATTAGGTGCTTTTATTACAGCTTTATTGCTTTTACGCGACTGAAACCGGTTTGCACTTGTTTACGTTCGTGTATCAATTGGTTCGCATTGTAATGCAATACGTTAAAAATAAATACAAATAGAAAGTGTATAAAAAATATAAAAGTATTGCGTATAAACTCGTGCAAAACATGTCTTTATTAAAAAACTACATTGCTTCCAATANTGTAATGCAATACGTTAAAAAGAAATACAAATAGAAAGTATATAAAAAATCTCCCGAATAAAAACCCATTACATGTATGTTTAAATATAAAAGTATAGCGTATAAACTCGTGCAAAACATGTTTTTATTAAAAAACTACAGTGCGTCTAATAATTTGGTCTAATTATTATAATATACTAATATAATACCTGATGTAATAAATATTCAATATTTATATAATATATCGTCGAATTTATCCAATCGTCGAACTTATATCGCCTAATTTAACCAATTGATACACGAACGTAAACAAGTGCGAACCGGTTTTATTCTCGAAAAACAATAAAGCTGTATAGTATCACCCGGTAATAAAGATTTTACATAGACCCTAATAGTCCGTCTAATAATTTGGGCAGGGGTAGTTCACTGCGCAAAATAGAAAACGGATCACCCTGATTAACTTTTGATCTAATGTTCGGATCTTCACGTTCTAAGACGTTCACGTTCTAAGATTGTGGTCCGTGCATTTTTATTGGCCCGGAAAATCACGTGGTAGGATCCAGTTGGTTGTCATCAGAATAAAATTAGTAAAAGTCATAAAGGTATTGATTTTCTATAAGTATTTTTATCTTTAATTTAAGGTTATTTTCCTGTACTGCTTTTAATTCGAGAGTTTAAAAATAAGAGAAATGTTTTTATTTTTATCATTATTATAATGTAATTCTGCGTTATTTTTTAAGCTAAAGCTATTTAGAAAGACGGTCTAACCATTTTACAATTATTATTTTTGTGCAAATAACATTAATATACTGTTATAAATTACAATTAAAGCGATGTGTGAAATGAACGATCAGCTTCCTGCACAATGAGATGCAAGCAAAAATAGTATTTTATTAAATACTATTTAATCCGCCCGTTTAGTAAGCAAAAATATGTTTGAAGTGCTATTTTAAACATGATAAATCAGTTTAGAAATAGATAATCCAAATAGATATTTGGAGGTGGGAGACAATAGAGTAATTTTTCTTAGTATTTATATGTTAAGTGAAACTGTTTTAGTAGTAAACAATTATTGAGAATCGGGGTTGGGGAGAGGCAAAGAAATATTTAAATAATATATTTCAAAAAATACTCGTGTAATCGGTTCAAATTACAGCTAAAATAGATAACAATTTTTTAATAGTCAAAAACTAATGTGTCCCGCAGTGACCGACCCAGCAGATCACCGAAGTCAAGCATCACTGGCTACGGTCAGTGTGCGGGTGGGTGACCACTTGCATTGGTCCTCGTTAAACTGTGCTACCGTAAAATGCTCGACTTCGCGCGCAGGTCGTCGAGCTACCGAAGCGGGGGTGCCATCCACTGCGCAGAGGATCAAAATTGTGATGGCATGTCTTCGGATCATCCTCCGGGATGTTTCCCAGACCGTCGCCAATAGCCCATTGTGCAGCTCTAGTGCGACGTAAAATTAACAACAACAACAACAAAAACTAATGTATGGTAATGATAGTATAAAAATGATGAACATACTTTTTAAATGGTTGCCCCCATTCTTATAAGAGCTATAAGTGCATTCACTGCTTTCTAGAAAGGGAAACTATAATTACAATATTTCATAGAAAACATAATTTTTATAAAACAGATTATACACACATTTAAATATGCATTTATTAATTGCAAAACAAGTTTAAATAGACATTGCTTGTCTTATTATATAACAAGAGTTGAACTCATTTTTTGGGTTATCAATGTTTAACTTCGTAGCCTTATAAGTTTTGAACCCGACAAGGAAACTCCTGGCATTGGGACAAATTAACCTTCGTGGAGGATTCGTTTAACGAGCATTTCCGTTACTCGGAGAAGAAAACTACGATAACCTCCCTTGGCTAGTTCTGCAGCAAGGGGATTCAAATCTATTATTCGTCTTACAATGAAAACAATTAATGTCAACTTTGTTTTCGGTGCGAGCTGAGAGCAGAATTCGCATCGCTGGAAATATTTTTTTTTTCTATAAAAATATTTTTATTCTTTATGAGAAACATAATTTTAAAATTTGTAAAAAAATTTGCACGTAATATATTAAATAATGTTGGGTAATATGATTAAATTAAGTTACACAAAATATTTATAGAAAAAATTTTAAAAAAATTTTAAGTAATTTGTTAAGTAAGCAAAAGCGGCATGTGTTGGTCAATGTTGATAATGCTTTTTAAACAATTTATCAAGAATAGTATTTTTGGGTTAATATCTTGAAGGACCAACTGCTTAATTTTTTTAAATTGTTGCATTTTATTTTTTAAAAGAATTTTTCCAAAAAAATTAATAAAAAACCTAGTGGGGGCATTAATGACAGTTTTACTTGCCTCAATTAGCATAAAAATTAAATAGTTCATCCTGAGTATTTGCGGATGTGTGCAGATTAATTTCATTAATAATTGGAATTCAAAAAATTATGTTTACCGAAAACCAAAATGGCAGCAACCGTGTTTAATAATTCCTTATTAATTAAGTAAAAACCAGCTACTTACCATTTAATAAAACCTGATACGCAACTTTAATTAATGGCATAAATGTGATTTTTAGATTGAAACGTGCAGGGAAAGAAATAATGGATAATAAATATAAGCATAGCAGCTAAATAATTAGGGCTCTCCTTGGATTCACGAATCTTGGCTTAATAAGAGAGCCTATATTGACCTTATGTAAAAATGTCGATTCACCCGAGATTTTACAGCCATTTTACAACCAATATCGGTCTTATGTCACCCTATATTTTATATTGAGCAGTGATGGCTCAGGGGATAGAGCCTTCAATGTGGTGAGCCGTTTTCGAATCCCAGTGAAGGCTGGTCGTCACGAATTACCATATATGGCAGTACTTTTACTTTCGTTACTTGTACCGCCGGTACAAGTAAAAAGTACGTATTTTTACTTGTACTTCGTTACTTTTTAAATTTGGTACTTTTACTTGTACTTTCGTTACTTTTTTAGGGAAAAAGTACAAGTATTTGTAACGGAAATGTCGAATGAAATCGTTACTTTTTTCTAAAACTCCTCGGTAAGCTTTCTAAAAAAAAACAAGTTTTACATTTTTTGGGGTGTTAAATTGCAAAGAATTGTCCAAGCTGAACACCCTGCTATAACTAATTACGTAGCAGAAAAAAACCCAGGGATTTTAAATTTTCTAAAGCTGAAAACATTATGCCAATCACCAGCTACAGAAGAATTTATGGCATACATGAGCTCAAATGTCGAAACGGAAAGCATATCAATTTTGAATCGATATCCAATCGTAAAAAAATTATATTTGAAATATAATACTGCAGTACCTTCTAGTGCTCCCGTGGTGCGCTTATTCAGCGTGGCTAAGCATGTTCTGAGAAATTCTCGCAGCAGACACAGTGACACCACTTTCGAAATGCAATTATTTTGCAAAATGAATAAAAATATTAATTAGCAAATTATTTTCATTCACTTTCGAGTTTTATGCTTTTATTTAACACATTTTAAACAAAAAATGTTGGATTTTGTTATTACGTTTTTCAATTTTCTTTTTGAACTCACTAAAAATACATTTTTGTCTTAAAACATTTTTTACTAATTACATTTTTAGTTAGTACATTTTTTACTAAAATTATGTTTTTGCCCGACCTTGTCAAACAACGCCCAGTCAAATCTCTAAGAACTTCAGAACTATTTGTGCCATTGAAAACTATTATAATTACTATTTTAACTCTTGAAAACTCGAAGGTATTAATTTAGCCGCTGATACTAAAATTCGTTTACAAATTTTAACTATCCCGTTTGGCAGAAATGTTCGGAAAATGATTTTCTCGCATGACTTCAGCATTAGCCATTGTTACAAATAAAACTGTAGACTGTTCTGTTTCAACTTATACTGCACATTCAATTATTTTTTACTAGCTCAAAGATCACAAAGCTATCTGAAACCCCGTGTTTGCTTTGTTTATGTTTGTGCTTTTAAAACGCGTTTCTATAGAGTAAAACAATTTTAAATCAATGGTAATTTAAATAAATAAAAATAATAAACTAAAAATTAAAATCAATAGATAAAATTTCTTTTTCGTGCAAATCCATAAAAAGTTTGATATTAAAATTATATTTGATTTTAAAATTATATTATACGATTATATTATAAAATTATATTATAATATTCTTCCGAATTTAAAAATAAATTAATGTCCATAACTTTCAAAATTAAAAATAATTAAATAAATAACAACAATTTTGCAAAAACATTAAAGAACATAAGAATATTATTCAATAAAATTTTAGGTTACTTTGAATTTTCGATTTCCTAGAAATGTACTTTTAAATCGTTACTTTTTTTGTTTAGTACTTGTACTTTTACTTGTACTTTTTACTCGTTACTTTTTAAAATAAGAACTTTTTACTTTTTACTCGTTACTTTTTTAAAAAATACTTGTACTTTTACTCGTTACTGTTTAAAAGTAACGTTGCCATATATGCGAATTACGCTTCCGGTTTGCACCGATCACAGTGCTGACGTAAAATATCCTCAGTGGTAGACGGATCACGGGTTAGAGTCCCCTTGCCCTCAGGCTAACCGGGTGAGGTTTTCGTAGTTTTCCTCTCCATGTAACGCAAATGTGTGCTAGTTAGATCAAAAAGTCCTCCTCGAAGGCAAATTTCTCCCAATTCCTGATCTAGAAGTTCCCTTGTCTTCTGGATTGGGTACAAAATGAAAAGTCTACGGAGTTGAACATTAGTAGTCGTAAACCCGAAAATTCGGGTCTGCTGTTTGAAGACGATTATAAAATAGAATAGGTTATTTTATGTTTATTATTTAGCCAATATATACCTTATATTAGCTCGATATAGGCCGATATTGTCCCATATAGGACTAATATTTAAAAATCAAAATATTCCGCTGTGCATGTTCATATAGGGACCATATTGTGCCCAACTGGGCCCGAGGTGAAATGGTTGCTAGGGAAATGTCAAATAAAATATTTTTTAAATCTTCTTTTCATTTATGCATTAATAATTATACATTTTAATCTTTTGCATTCTTTTTTAAATATTCTAGGATATTTTTGTAGTGTATTTCTTCATATTTTGCTAATAAAGCAAAATGTACTAGAACCAAACAATAAAACATTTATGCGCAGTTAAAACGTTTATTTCATTGAAATTTCGTACCTTTCTAATCAATCCTATACTTCTCTAAAGCTAATACAGTTTTTAAAAACAAAAGAAAAAACTCCTATTTATTATATTAGTGATATCTTGCAGCAATATCCTATAACAATATGTCTAATATTACAATAATAGAGATATTGCTATGAGAATATTTAAAAATTAAAAATTTGGGAGGTTAAATTTCTTATGAGTAAGAATAGATTTTATTTAAAGATAATTATGACTTACCTGCCATCGTCTTCTGATCACGAACCGCTTTAGTTTTTTCTTATCAATCGTAGTTTCTTGTTTCTTTTTATCTCGCTACAAAATAACATGATAATTACCTTCTTTTACAACATTATGTCAGACAAGTAATTAGATTATGAAAAACATTTCCCCATATTTTCATAACTTTACTTTTTTTCTACTGCCAATAACAATATTGTTTTCGATATTTTTAAGTTTTGTAATTTAATTGACATTTTCTAAAATAAGTTTCTAATATTTTAGAACTTTTTATTGCCTTTTTTTATTTAGTGTCAGAATATATTATTTGAGGCAACCACTCCCGGAAAAATTATTTTTAAAAAATAATGTAAAGCATACGAAGTAACTATCTTAAAATAAAATGTACCAAAAAAATAAAAAAATTTTAACGCGTTAAAAATATTTGTGACATTTTAAAAAATTAATAATATATTATAGAGCGAATTAAGTAAATTTATTTTACAAATTAAAATAATGTGTTGAAATATGTATTTGGATATAGTGATTGAGTGAGCAGGCAATTATTGAATTTCAAAGTAAAGAAATTAAGGCCGGAAATAGGAGTAATTAAATTAAAAGGGAACATACTCACCCCATACAGGAGAAATAACATTTATTTATGAACAAACAGTAAAAAATATCTTTTGACACATTTTGTAAGAGGCCTAGAATTAAAAATGGCTGACAAGAGAATTTAAATAAAAACAAAATATAAGAGAACTGTTGAAAAGATAGAAAGAAAGCTTGAGATTGTCTTTAAGGCATAATAATGTCCATTAATTCCTTTTATATCATAAGGATTGGGAATGGTATTGCAATGACGTTAAGCATCCATCCATATTAGGATTTCGTGTTTCAGCTCTTATTAAGTATTACAGTTCAGTACTTATTAAAAAAAGAATGAATTTTTACAAGTTCACGTGGATTCGAATATACTGTCATAAATTAAGGAAAAATCACAAAAATAACGATATTTTTTCCAAAAATAAGCTAAGCCCATTGAAATTTGAATATGTGGTTAAATAAGAGTTGCTAATTAAAACTGCAATATGTAAATTAGTGGTGTTGCAATGGAATGGCGTAATCTTCAATGACCAAAACATTATATGCTGAAATTCGAGATGGCCAATTTGTAACAATAACCTCCAAGCATCATTTGTACAAACAACTGCGATGGAGATCTATTGGAAGACTAGAGGTAGGAAACAGTCACAGAGGAGTAGCCAGGTGGTCAAATGGGAGTCCTTCTATGGTTCATAAACTTTGGCAACAATTTCTAACCAAAGTGCGGGGAAGGTTGAGCAAAAGGGCGGTCAAGTGACAAGGGCCACGAGAAGAGGGTGTGTAGGGGTGGTATCTCTTTCGGAGGACGCACAGACCTGAGTGTCTTTCTACGTGGAGCTGTAAATGCTCACGTGTTTATGTGCGGCTTATGCCGGTGTAAGAGGTGATGACTTCGTGCTAACGCAACCCCACACGGGGCTCGCATCGTGGATGGTCATGTTCAGCAGCAAAAAATTCAGTGCATGGAGTGGCCAGCTTGATCACCGGACTTGAATCCTATCGAGCATGTTTGGAGGCTTTAGAAAGACGTGTAGCTGCTTTCAATCTTTCTCCTCTGACCTTGTAACCCTTGCAATTACATTGCAAAGCTTTGCTTGGTTCGCACTTCCAAAGGAACTGGTAGACCAGATAATTGAAAGCATCACACGTCATTGTGTGTACTGTATTACTACTAGAGGTAATCCTACTCCATACTGAAGGTACTTTTTCCATTCCAAACTGAAACATCTGATTTATTAATTTCATACACATGCTAATCTCTGAAACATCACAATTGTCTGGTTAATACTTTTTATGTTATTTTATTCATTATTATGTGTACTATAATGTGTGCCAGTTTCAATAAATTCTATGCGTAACTTTATGAGTTTGGTCATCTCTTTTTGATTGTTCCTTAAATTATGATAACCAGTCTATTTTATCCTATGGGAAATACAAATGGGGGATTGGTTTGCCTTTGAATATAAGATAATTATTTTCTTTTACAACAAGCCATTCCAAGGTCGAAGTCTGTTATTTGTAAGAAATATTTATAATAGTTACAGTTTCGTATCAAAACTCTTGTAACATTTGCTTAAAAAGAACTATTACCACTTTCATCTGAGCAATAGGGGGGATAAGGTGAAAGTAATTTCATGGGTCTGAGGGTTGATTTATACGGGTGGAGATTAAAGTAATTATTAACAATTGAAATTTAAATATGCTTTAAAATCTAACTTACCCTTAACCAAGTATGTTGCAGTGCTTGCGTTGAATCTAAACGTTTCCTGAAAAGACAACTTATTGTATTACTGAATACATTTTTATATCTATGTATAGTGTTAGTCAGGGTAAGACAGGCTTTTTGGAACAAAACGAGAGGAGTAAGACAGGCATTCAAACCGTCGAAACAATGACGTTTTGAATGCATTATCCTCTTATCATCTTTCAATCAACATCTCAATTGAGATATCCTCGTAATTCTTTTTATTGAGAAATACATAGTCTCGTTAAGTATGTATTTACGAGAGTACGTATACTGGGGCATACTCTCGTAATTGTACTATTGAGATATCATCGTAATTCTTATTACTGACAAATACGTAACGCATGTATTACGAGAGTGTGTATACTAGACATAATCTCGTAATTCTTATTATGGACCAATTAGGTGGTATCATAGTGTTCTATAAAGTGAAAATGAATTAGGCAAAAATATTAAAAAAGTAAGATTTATTTATTTGTTTATTTATTTGTTTAAATAGTGTTTAAAATGCGGCACTGTTACCTCGCACCACAAAATAATACACCAATACATTCAGCTGAACAAGTCGCTTTGTCTTTGGGATATTGCCTACCACGTAACTCCGGTAGTGAGATCTACACATGGAGGTCGAACTCACACAATTCAGAACTGGCTTTGGCATAGTGGTAAAACATGATGGTAATACTGTTCACCGGATCTCGTCCAGAGCGTCTGACCACTGCTCAATCTTTGAGGTCGAGCTGATGGCCTATGAGATGGACTTCAAACAAGGAAGACAGTATTTTTATTGATTCACTCTCCTCACTTCATGGCTTGGCTGAGCCCACTCACAAAAACACTACAGTTAATGAAATAAAAAAACTATGGCATAAAAATATTACTTTCAATTGGACCAAAGCTCATGTGGGGACACGGGGTAATGAGGAGGCCAAGGAAGCCATCAGACTCGATCGAGTGGATTTCACTGCCCAACTAACCCCCATACAGGTCAAGTCGATAATCAACGAACATGTTATGATACGGTGGAAAAGCGAATGGACAAACAGCTCCAAGGGACGTCAAACTTTTAAATTTTTCAAAGATCCAAGGGTCACCAGACAGCAGGCAGATTTTTATTTAAACCAATTTCTCACAGGCCATGGCATGTTTGGAAACCATCATTCTTCGGGAATCTGGCCTGCGGGATCAGCAAAGTGACCCTAGAGTGTCCCTCCACCGTACCTTTTACCTTACTCATCTTAACTACTGACTTTTTTACACCTCTTATTTTATCATGATGTTCTGTTCATTTTATCTTTATTGGAATCTTGTCATTTACAATTTTCGATCATCTTTTAGTTTCTCACCGACTTTTTAATTTGCTCTTTTTAGCCTATCTCTTTGATTTTTACTTGTTTTGGGGCCTTTCCCAGGTTTCAACATTCACATTTTGTACCTATTTTAATTTAGTGGACCTTTTCCACTTTATATTTTAACTGTTGCCTTCTTCTGGTGTTTATCTTATATTATACAAACTTTTAAAACTGTCAAATTTTTAACACTGTCAGAATAAACTAAGTGGTTTTTAAATTGATCTAATAGAGCAATAAGGGTCTTTCGACCTGCTCAACAGCCTACAGACTCTGTTAAACTCTGATATTTTTAAACTTTAAAAATGCTTAAAATGGTATAAACTGCATGTAGCAGTTTATACCATTTTAAGCATAAGATGGATATTTGTTGACCATCGAATGAATTTTTTACTGATTTTAATAAATGCCCCCGGGGGGGGGACTTCGCCGGGTCCCTCGACCGGTGAAAGTTTCGCGTTTAGGGGACCTGTCTCGGCGACGAGTCGAATATTTCCCTTATACCCATATTGGGAGGATCGGGGTTAACCTACTTCCTTAATATATACCTGTTAAGAATCTAAAGATACTCTGACCAAATGTGCCTATTGTTGTGGTCCTTCAAATTATAAACAATGCCCGAAATCAGCGCTGGTGAAATCTAGAAGCAACTACAGGTTCAATCGCCAAAATTATAAAATCCACCTTAAGAGAACTGTTACATATGCCTCAATTTTAATTCAATTTATGCCAATTTAAAACGCATAAGATTATAAAAGCTGATTGCTACCACTGATGCTTGGTTTTGCTCAAAAGTTATAAGATGGATTTTATGCCCTCTCATACAAATGCTTAGTCTCAATGATATGTAATAGGATCGTGATTACGTTCATTTTAACGATTTTAGAATCCTCTGCATAAATGAAGTGAAAAAAATATGTACATGAGGGGTTACCATTTTTTTAAAATTTTTTATATATGCCACCAGACAAAAATTGAACAGCCGACAAAAGTTTTTGGATTTATAAATACTAATGTTCAACCCCGTAGCCTTGTAATTTTGAACCCAATCCAGAAGACAAAGGAACTCCTGGATCAAGTTTTGGGAGAAATTTGCCTTCGTGGAGGACTTTTTTTTATGGAACTCACCGGCATCGTTACATGGAGAGGAAGACCACGAGAACGTCCCACGGTTAGTCTGATGGCAAAGGGACTCTAACCCATGATCCGTCTACCACTGAGGATATTTCACGTCAGCACTGTGGTCGCTGCAAGGCGGATTCGTTTCGACCAGTCATCGCTGGGAATTCGATCGTGGTTCACCTCATTGGAAAGCGACCGCTCTAATCCCTGAGCTATCGCGGCTCTAGGGGTTACAAGTTATCATCAATCGAGGAAAAAAAATAAAATCAAAACTTGTTTTAAAGCCTGATAAAAAAAAAACCCAAAAAACAATCGAGTTCAAAGCGAGAGATACACCACCATATTTCGAATGGCAATCAAATTTGTTTTGAAGCCCCATTTTCCTGACAATCAGTGGTAGAAATCAGCTTTCAGAATTAAAAGAAAAGTTATTTAAGGAATTGTTTTTTAATTTATTTTGCACACTGTAAAAATAAAAAAAATAAAAAAAACTATAAGAATGCATTAAAAATGCTACTTACAATCTTTCTTTTACAAGTAACTTAGAAATAAAATCCTTAGCATCTTCAGAAATATCATCAAAGCTTTCATCTTCAAAATCCCATTCTGCTCTTGTAACATTTGCCATGGTCTCCATGTCACTATCTCCCATAAAAGGAGATAATCCGGACAATCTAAAATGGACGCATTCATTTTGACTTTTTACTCAAACAATTGGGAAGAACAAAAATCATTTCATTTTAGCATGTTTTCGGAATGTACGTGACTAACAGTTTCTTTTTATTAAAGTTATAACATATGTATAGGCCTTTTTTTTTACTCCACTAAAAGTAAATAGTTATGAATAGTTAACCGGTAATTTTTCGCAGAAACCATATCTTGTCATTTTGTAATTGAATATGAAAGTAAAGTAAAATATTCTAAAATAAACTCTAATAAATTTTGTTTATAGTAATTGGATATCCCCCAGGATTTCGTAAATTGATAATGCAAGTATAATGAACAGGAAAGTGCTGATTTTACTCCACACTGAAAACAAATGATTTTACAACCTTTTTTTTTCTATCTTACTTTCTGCTCAAGAAAGACTCAAAAGACTTTTTTACTCAAACCAATGCTTCAAAGTAATTTTATAAAATGAGTCGCTTTAGATTAGTACATATTAGATTAGTACATATTAGTACATAATGTATATATTATAAATATTAGCGTAATAATGTCATGTCCAATTGTGGGCAAATTGTTAAGACTCTTTTCCCAGTAGATCATCGAAGTCAAGCACCACTGATGATCAGTGTAAGGGTGGGTGATCACTAGGATCAGTCTAAGAAGGGGCCTTGGGTGTGCGGTATTTGGTACTCGTTAAACTATTCTTCGCAGTTTGTCAAGCTACTTAGGTGGGGTGGGGCGCTCTGCAGATAATCTTGTAATGGCATGTCTTCAGATCATCCTCAGGGATATTTCCCAGACCGTCGCCAATGGCCTATTGTGCAGCTCTAGGGTGACGTTAATAAACTACAGCAATAATAATTTAATAATGTTTAATAATTTAATTAAATATTTCTAATTAAACACTGAAAACAAAGCTGTCGTAACCCTTAATATTATATTTAATATGTGTCAGAAAAGCATTTTATTTTAAAGATTTTATAGTTTGTCTTTGTATAGCACTCCCCTAGTCATACGTGGCTATGATTAAGAGGTTTTACTATTTCAAGTAGTTCATTATTTTAAACAGATTTTGACTCAGGTCGGCGAGAGAAAGAAGCTCCTCTCTTTCAAAATTCTTGTTTCCATAGCAGCAGAGGGCCTTAGACTTCGTGGGAAGGGGATTTTTTTCTATAGACAAACTATATCCGTTTCAACGGGTACAGGATAGTTTTAATTGGTAGAGGAGGAGGATCAGCTCTCTGTTCGTTTTCGAACATTCGAGGAATAAAACATTTTTGTCACCCGTGGAAAAGTTCCATTCCGATGGATTGCTATGAAGTTGTCAAAGTGAAGGGTCCTAAAAAATTACTTTTAATAAAAATTTTAAGTTTTGCAAGTTTAACAACCTTTTAAAGTGTGGGACTATTGAAAAAAATGAAAATTAAGAACTTTATAAAATGGAGTATTTTAACTTTTGATAAAATTGATACAATTATGCTTTAAAAGATCCAACTCTATTAAATCTATATTATTATCTTTAAAAGAGTCGTATGGTTAAAATTTGATTTCTCAGGAACTATTCACCCGATTTCGCTCAAATTCTGTATTTTGCTATGTAAAATTAGATACTTTAAAATTTTGCAAAAATTTATTTGCCTTACAATTCTAAGGTTTTACGACTGTATTTAAGTAAAATAATAAAAAATAGTNTGGTTAAAATTTGATTTCTCAGGAACTATTCACCCGATTTCGCTCAAATTCTGTATTTTGCTATGTAAAATTAGATACTTTAAAATTTTGCAAAAATTTATTTGCCTTACAATTCTAAGGCTTTACGACTGTATTGAAGTAAAATAATAAAAAATAGTAAATATTTACTAAAATGTATTTTTTGCATTGAATTGTCTTTGGATTATCGAATTTTATTTGTATTTTATATGCGCAAAGAATTTTTAATTCCCTTTAAAAGTTCTCGAGATACGGCAAAATACGCAAAAATTAAAATTAACATTAGGGGGTCCAAACTTTGAATGGCTCTCCTTACCAAACTATGGGGATCATATTTGCCAGATTGCGGTTACCCCTATATTTTGGAGGTAAAAAATCTGAATCCGTTGAAAAAAAGGTATGTTTATTCAGGGAAAATACGTTTTTGTGTCTGATTTCGTAACTTAAAACATCGTCTGGATGAACTAATTTGCATATTTGAGGTCATTGCCCTTTGACCCATTAAGATTTAGTCCTAAAACGTGAAAATCCAACCAATAGATCAAAAGTTATTCAGGATAGTCCTCTTTTTGAGAAGAAATCTAAAAGAAGACATCAAGTACATACTTACAGAACATAACAAATAACGCCAACGCTCCACATATCAGTTTGGTAACCAATATTTTCAAAACAAACCACTTCTGGTGCAACAAATTCTGGTGTACCAAATAGTACTTTCAATTTCTTCTTTGGATCGTACTTTCTAGCTAAGCCAAAATCAATAAGTTTGATTCTATTTCCTGTTCGACTGATACAAAGCACATTTTCTGGCTGAAAACAGAGAAACATTCTCAGAGATTCAAAAAATTCTCAAGAACAACTCTTGCAACAACTAAGTTTAATTCATAATAAAAATGCAAATTTATAATTTTCTCTATTATTGTTGTCGTCGGTTATTAAGGCTGAGTCTGTTTTCCAGTGGCGCCAAAAATTCTGCTGCACTCATACGTCACACCCGTTTATAAGGCGGACACATTCATTAATCCACAGATCGTAATTTTGACCTGAACCAGGGAATGATCAATCTCCAATTCAGTACCCCCAGAGGTATTGATTTGTTATGGAAACATGGAGGACTTGGTGACCCGACAGATTTAACATGCACCAGTCACCATTAACTACACGGTGAGTCTTCGGCTGGCTGGATTCTCACAAACGTGAGTCCAGGGTCCTGCCAACCTGGCCATCCCGGCCTTAATTATCTCTATTGACAGGAATTAACATAAATTACTGCAAAAATACCATATAGATACTTTAAAAAAAAACATTTTTTTTCCAACGACAGTTTTTGACATTTATGATGTAATATATGCAACAATAAGAAATCTTTTCAATGCAACAATAAGAAATCTTTTTCAAATAATGTTTTGATTTTTACAAATAAACAAGAGTGTACAATGTTACAAATAAATAAGAGTGTAAAATTAAGACAGTTACTTGATAATATCATTAACAAATAACAGCAACAAATCAGTAAGTTATTGTGAGACTGACTTTTAGAAAAAAACAATTTACAGATTTTGATGCAGGTCTAAAATAGTAACGTACGATCAGGTGATCAGATCGGTTATAGATCCGGGCCATAAATTAAAGTACTTTAAACTTATTAATACATTTTTAAAATAATTTTTCAAGTAATTATTTTATTTTATAACTGTTATTGAACAGCTTGGGTTTACGACTAATAATGTTCAACTCCATAGTTTTGCAATTTTGTCTCTAATCCAGAAGGGAACTTCTGGATCAAGTAGTGGGAGCCTTCGTGATGGTCTTTCTAATGGAACTAACCCGCATACGCGTTATATGGAGAGGGAAACCACGAAAACCTCCCACGGTTAGTCTGACGGGACCCATGATCAGTTTACTGCTGAGGATATTTTACGTCAGCACTGAGCTCAGTACGAGCTGGGTGCGGAATTCGTATTGACCAACCATCGCTGGGATTCGAACCTGGCTCACCTCATTGGAAAGCGAGTGTTCTATCCCCTGAGCCACCACGGCTCTTTTTCAAGTAATCCTCATGTTTTCATGAAATATTTCAGTCATAAAATGTGATTTTCTTAAATGTAAAGTACATGCTTGTCAAAAAAGAGCCGATAAGGCTTTATCGTTAGTTAATTGTTTAAGATAATCTGATGCAAAAAGTTATTAAACTGTTATTTTTTTAATAGAAGCGTTTATTGCATCAGTATTGAATATTTTCTTCATATAACAGAAATGCCTGTAAAATTCAGAATTAACTGCTTTTCTCTTACATCTTCAAATTAATATCTTTTACCAGATTTTAATTAACGAATATGATCGGGTGTCGATTTGAGTTCATAACACAAAGATCTAATATAATTTTCTTAGCTTTTAACATTGTTGCATTCTTCACGATTTTAACAATCTAAGTACAAATCATTATTTCTGCGCAATCTATGAATTATTTGATATATTCAGTGTATCTGAATGCGTCTTAGATGGTCTTCGAATTGCCTTACGCCATCTCGTGCTCATACTGGGACTATAGAGGAATTTGAACAAAGATAAGTATGGTGATAAAAAATTTATAATGATAAAAAATGATAAATCATAAAAAATAATGATGAAAAATGCCTTACCTTACTGATATAAAATGCCTTAATGGTTAAAAAAAACTGCGATGTTAAAAAAATGCAATTGATTTCGTTATTCATTAATTATCTTACCGAAATTTATTAGAAATTTTAATTTTTATTTAACAAACTAAATACTTTATGCTTCGTTTTTAAAAATTTCTTTTTTAATTGATTTCGTAAATGTCCTATTCTAGAATATTGAATCTGTTTGTTACAAATTATAGAATTAATTTATTTGTCCCATTATTGTTATTGTATATTATTACATAAATATCAATTATTATATTTCTAATTAATAATAATATTAATAATAATATATGTTATAATAATTATTAATATATAATAATTATTATTATAATATTAATACTTTGCCTTATCTCATTTGCCACAATTTAATTTAAATTAGACATCATACTCAAAATTAAAGAGGATTAATTATATTAAAATTAAAAAGAAAGCAAAAACAATTCTGTTTAATTAAACTTATGCACATTGATGCGACTACTTTATGTTATTTTTCCTGATTACGAATTACTTATAAAAATGTTACTTACCTATTTGTTCCAACTGTTATTTANTATATATATATATATATATATATATGTATGTATATATAACTTAAAAAGCATCTATTAATCTTTTTAAAAACCTATTAGTACAACAAGTTATGGATAATTTAAAAATTAAGTCGTAAACATTTTATTACATAAGCGCTAAGTCCGTATAAAAAAGAAGTACAAAAAGTATAGACATTTGAGAATGCTAATTAATATAAGTCACGAAAAAAACTGGCGAAGTATATCATTACTACTAAAAACTACTAACAATATATACACAGGTTTCTATAAACTTCATTTCATGTTTCCTCCAAATATTTTCTAAAGTATTCATTTCAAACATCCTGTATGCATATATTATGAGTTGAAAACTTAAAAATGTTAAAACCTGACAAGTCGTTAACGATTAAAAATATCAGCTGACATTAAAAACATTTCGGGGAACAAAGTTTCATTTGAACTGGCAATCAAACTGGTTTTGGATGTCTCCGTTTTCCTTTAAAGTAATCCGTTATATTTCGATGGCGGGTTTTCATTTGTCCCTTCTTAAATATTCCTTAGCGACTTAGTAAAGTGCTCAGTGCATAGTTGTTTGATTTAATTTTTTTACAGGATTGTAAAAATAGTTATTGAGTTTGGTGATTATTAAAAACATCCTTTATAGTTTGCTTATCAATGAGACAAAAATAATTAGCAACGCCTTTGGAACTATGAAATCTGATTTTAAAAGTTATTTCTTCATTTCACTTTTTATAAACATTGAGAATGAATGGTTCTCGAGGATTTCACTGAATTTTGCTCAATTATTAATTTTTTAATTGAATGAATCACCACTGATCAAATGTTTTGTAAATAATATTTCTTACTGCTTAAGTACATGTAGCTGTCCTAGATGGCAGCACTAAGAAGCGCATCTGATATATTCAGATGAAAATGTAATTGGCTGGAAAAAAAATTTAAAAATTTGAGAAGTTTCTCTAAAACGTAGTAAGAATTCATATTAGTGAAACGAAGTTCTAAGTATGAATTTAAATATTATTGAGTATTAATTGCAGTAAATCTATACACTTTACTAATATATATATAATTAATTTGCAGATTTATTTCAGATTTTTTAAAAATAAATTATTCTGTTTTTCAAATAAACAAACTTTTTCATAGATAATTATTGTAAAGGTTAGTGGTGTGGAAACCAAGAAGACTTTTAATCGACGACTAAGGATCCTAAATAATGAAATTTATTAATATTACTTTTATTGTAAGATTGAATTATTAAGTAATATTAGACTCAGGTAAATTATTAGACTCAAGGAAAATATATTACTAAGAATAAAATCTGATATCAAACAAATTAATGAGATTTAGCTCATTAAATTTTAAATATTGCTTCAGAAGAATCCATAATATTTTGTTGGAAATTGATTTGAAATATTTTTTCTAACCTAGATATGTAGAATATCTAATAGAAACCTATAATCGACAAATAAGGACACTAAAAAAATTAAATATCTTAGTATTTTTAAATTAAATTTCTTATAAGGAAAATGTTTGGCTCAAGAAAAATGTTTTTCCAAGAATAAAATATGATTTTCAATTATGATTATTTCTTATATTTTAGAAAAATAGAAATTATTTATTTGAAATTATTTTTGAAATTATTTATTTGTTAAATTTCCTGCTTACCCGGATCGAGTGTTCGATCCGGGTGCGAATCCCAGCGATGGCTGGTTGATACGAATTCCGCATCCGGCCACCGACCACAGTGCTGACGGGTAATATCCTCCTTGGTAGATGGATCATGGGTTACAGACTCATATCTGCCAGGCTAACCGTGGGAGGTTTTAGTGGTTTTCCTCTCCATGTAACGCAAATGAGGGTTATTTTCATCAAAAAAAGTCCTCCACGAAGGCAAATTTCTCCTAATACTTGATCCAAGAATTCCCTTGTCTTCTGAATTGGGTTCAAAATTACAAGACTACGTAGTTTAACATTAGTAGTCGTTTATTTATTAGTAAATGTCTACTCTCATTATTATTTTGCTAATTTATTTATTTTTAATAAAATGTTATTAAAAATTGTTCGTCTGGGTTTTTTATGGCCCCCCTGTATAAGATATACGTGAACGGACTGATTTCAAAATTTAAAATCTCGGCAACAAAGAGAAATAAAATATGTTTATTGTGAATGCTGTAAAAATTCTGACCAGCTTCGAGTTGTACCCACTTTGGATTTTGTTTCAGGTGTTTTATAAAGTAAAAATTTCAGAAACTGAAGGAATAAAGTTGCAAAAGTATTTCTACATTTAATTTCAGCGTAAAAAGAAATGAAAGAAAATTAATGGAAGTCAGTCATTTGGCTATTTCTAAATTGTTTTCTTTATTCTCACAATTATTACAAAAAATGACAATTTAAAAATTCAAACAATAATTTTATTTTAATCTTGAATAAATCTTTAAATAAAGTTTTAAATAAAGCTACCGTCTTATTTTTTTAAATCAATGATGTATAGCTATATATTAAGATTGTAAGAAAATAATATACATTTCTTAATAGTTAAAACTCAATCCAAATGAAAATATAACTTTACAATATTTTGTGGTAATTTAAAATTTTTTTCAACAATCTCCCCCTCCCATTTACAATGAATAGTGTTCTAGGAAAATTTTTTGTTGCACTATAACCCTGATTATATACAGTTTAAATGAAATTAAGTAGTAAATTTGTTTTTTTATAACCGTCGTTGAACAGCCGACCCAATTTTGGGTTTACGACTACTAATGTTCAACTCCGCAGTCTTGTAATTTTGAGCCAATCCAGAAGACAAGGAAACTCCTGGATTAGTACTCCTGGAAACTCCTGGTATGATTTGCTATGGGAACCTGGAAGACTTTGTGACTTGACAGATTTAGCGTGCATCAGACACCATTTACTACACGGGGAGTCTTCGGTGGATCGAACTCACGACTTCTTGATATGGGCCCAGTACCCTCGAACAGAATCTTCGATGTAAGGAATGGATGAATTCAGATGACGCCAATGAAATTAGATGACGCCAATAAATGGCGACTAAAACCATATGCACATGATGCGTATATCATACATATTTTTGAATGACTAATTATACGCGTAGAGCAAGCCACACAGTTTGTAAATAAAAGAAATATTCTGTTATTCTTTGCGATGTTATCTTTCTTTTTACTGTGTTATAGCGCCACCTAAAGACGAAATTAAAACTTATTTATTTATTTTTTACCAAAAATTCGGACTATAACCTAAATAGCAAATATAGTCGGACTACTATTTAACGAACTTCCATTTTGCAAATTTCTCTATTTTGCGAGTTTTTTCGAGGAACCTCGAGCATTTTGGAAATTCCTTCGTAAAATAACTTCCAAATTGTGAAGAGAATTTTCGATTTAACGAACTTTTTTTTGAGATCTTCCCCTATTTCTTAAAATATTTCAGAACATTTCATACTTGTTAACGTATTTTATGGGATTGATTTTCGAATTGACAGGACTCTCAGGGAAAGTATTAAAGTCCCTTTTTGTTTGCGTTTCAAACGAGAAACTCAATTAAACTGAAGAACGCATGTTGTAATGCGTGGAACACATGCAGTATATTTAAAATTACTTTATATGCAGCTATAATTTTATCCATAAATTAGTTTTTTTTTAAAGTTAATAATGCATGTAGCGTGATAGTTTAACACTGGATAATGTTTTGCTCTATTCTTGCAGCATTCCATGCAGTTTTCTTTTATGGTTAAGCTTTATAAAAACTACTTTACAAGATAAAGGTGCATAAATTGCTATTTCAATTATGTCTAGCGTTTATGTATTTAAAACCTGTTACGTGTTGTTTAAGTATTTCAAAAGGTGATTTTCTATTTAACGAATTTTCCATGTAACGAACTTATTTTTGGGATTTAGCTACTTCGTTAAATCTTTCAGTAGAACTGGAGTTTCAAATCTCATCAATGTTATTATAACAATCACATATCTAAAATAAATACTACCTTCATATCGAGATGAAGTATGTTTTTTGAATGCATGTATTGAACTCCTTCACATATTTGTCTCATAAATATTGTAACTGCTTTTTCAGTTAGAACAAAATCTTCATCAATGACCCTTTCGAAGAGTTCGCCTCCTTCTATACTGCAAAACAAGAAAATCTTATTTTAGACCATACAAATATCGCATTCCTTTATATTTAATAATATTTTCAAAAGCACAAAAACTAGAATTTGATCGCAAATTTAGGTGATTATTTGTTTGACGTAAATTTCATTTTTAAAAAAAAATTGAAAAGTAAATTTATAAATTATATGATACTTATATACTGATGGTTGAACGTGTAAAGCTAAGCAAAAATTAATTTTTATCTGAGATTTCAAAAAAAAAGTGCTATTGAGACGATGTATGCAATATATGGACAAATAATACATATCCAATAAGTATTGATACAATTTGAATGCAAAGGAACTTTGCAGTTATAATATAGAAATTTGTTTGCCAAGGATCTCGGCAGAAATTCCTTCATGACCTTTGCAGCAACAAAATAGAAATATTATTCTGCAATATATACATTAATGCATATTAGAGTGGATCAAAAAAATTTATTTTTTCATTTTAAAAGACTTTATTTAGGAAAAGTATTGTATTAAAAATAAGCATCAAAAATTTTAACATCGTACGCAAAATTAATAATCTTTTTTTTAATTTTATGTTGGCTGACACTTTTGAAATAAACACGCTTGATTTTTTTTTATGCTTGTTTGATGGTTCGCTTATCCTAAATAAATTAAATTATTTTCGAAAATTTAATTTTTGTGTTTTACCCGTTTTTCGTAGCTTTCCCTGTACAACTCTTCGCCCCTTTGTTTTAACAGAACGAACTAAAACGCAATCCTATGAAAATCGTCAAGTCTACCCTCACTCTTTTCAACCAATCAATGGTATTTTTACGCTATATTTTCTTACAAAGATTTCTAAAAGATTCCTTGGCATTGTTAAATTTCCTTTTTTGTAACTACTACACATTTAAAGCGTTTTTGTTGGAGATTGACTTGAAAGTAGGTCACATATGTGCATCGCTAGCGTACTTTATTTGAAGATACAAATTTGACACCTTATACTCATAGTGACACTTTTCTAATACTCATAGTGTGAGCCGTGATGGAGCGTCCAATGAGGTTCGAATCCTAGCGATGGCTGGTCGATACGAATTCCACCCACCACAAGGCTAACCGTGGGAGGTTTTCCTCTCCATGTAACGCATCAATTGCTCAATTTAGGTTTATAAACCTTCTATATTGCTTATTGTTGACAACCACGTACTTTGGTTGGAGGGAAAAAAATGTTTCAACTTTACTTTGAAATCATTGATTCTTGCGTAGTAATCCAATTCTTCTAGACTTAATTTTATTAAATTACTTATGATACTATGCATCTATTTAAGCTTTCTTGTCATCAGAGAAAAGGTGTGGACTTTGAATGTGAGCATGAAAATACAGATTCGAGCAAGTCTAATTTTTGCAAATATTTGAAAATACAATCACACGAAAAAGTTGGATGGTTGATTGAATAGCAAATATTTTCACCGTTTATCAGCTGTCAAATAGTCTGTTGTTACAGATATATAATTGTTAAACTTTTAAAAATGAAGAATAAATAAAGTGAATGAATTACATTTCCAAAATGAGACACATTGACTTTTTCCCATCATCAAAAGCATCATAAAGTTGTAGCAATCGTGGGTGTTGTAAAACTGTCATTATTTCTACCTCTCTTTCTACATCTAAACGATCTTGAGCTTTCATTGTTGTTATAAATTTTGCTGCAAATACTTTTCCGCTTTTCTTTTCAGTGCACCGATGCACAGTTCCAAATTTTCCCCTGAAAAACATTCGAAAATCTAAATTAATATCTTAACTTGGGATTCGCATTTTTCAATTCCTACCATTAGTTCACAATCTCTCTAGATCTTGTTCAAATTTTTAATCGTTAATAAAATACTTTATATTCATCCACTCAAATGCAAAAACATTTTTTTACGCTTGATGTTAATGCAGTTTTTTTCAAATATTAATTCATTCATTAAATAGGAATGAGCGAAAAACGAAATGGAATTTTCTGATTGGTTAAGTGTTAGTCATTGCTTTAAATTTTAATATAAGCGATTCAGTTTTTCACATATTTCAAAGATAAAATCAGTGAAAATTTCTATCTTATGGCTCTAATTGAACAAAAAAGAATAAATAAATAGTTTATTGCGCGCATTTAAATATTTAATTATTTTATATTCGCTGTGTTAGATAAATTCAATGGATAGTTTTTTCAATAGAAATGTAAACAATAACAATCTCGAGCTCGGCACCTACTCTAGTTCCGATTAAAAATTTTACAGCTGCTTACTACATGTTATTCTGATAGGCGATATTTTCAAACGGATAATTTTGTTTTCAATAAAATAAATAAATTAGATAATTTCTGAGCTCAAATCTGCCATATTTCATAAGATATTAATGTTAATATGTAATTCTGGTGAGTTTGAAGTGAAAATTTGTTTTAAGTTTTTTAGAGAGATATTGTTAAAAAAGGTGACATAGTTGCTAGATTTTGAATAACTCGCTTTTTTGGCAGTCTTGATATGGCCTCTTTCCATAAGTTTATTACTGTTTGTTCTGGTTGCAAGCTGTGCACCATCTTACGTTAGTGTTAACACTTTTAGAATTGTAAACACCAGTATTGTTAGCATTGTAAACACAAGTAATAAGTAATCAAATACATTGTTTGCAAGAATCTCAAAACACAATGATGCCAAATGGCT